ACTTGTTAGGGGAAGAAAAAGAACATCTGTTTAATTCAAACACCACCAACACTTAACAGACAGAGTAGGACAGTGAGAAATACAACCACATATTAAAAACACCTTCCCCACCCCTCCTTTCTTCCTGGGCTCAGCTTTGTTTTAGATTTCTCTACTTCCTCCCTCTCACCAGTGTAGGGAGCAGGGAAAGGGGGTTGTGGTCATTTCATCACACATTGTTTCTGCTGCTCCTTTCTCTTCAGGGGGAAGACTTCTCACACTCTTTCCCTGCTCTAGCATGGGGTCCCTTTCACAGGAGAGAGTCATCCACAAAATTCCTCCGACATGAGTCCTTCCCACAAGCTACAGATCTTCTCAAGCTGTTCCAGCATGGGTCCCTCCTGTGTGTTGTAGTCCTCCCAGCGATGAACTACAACAGTGCAGGTTTCCCTCAGATTCCCAGCCTTCTCTGGGCACAGCCATCTGCTCCAGTGTGTGGTCCTCCATGAACTGCAGCTGGGCATCTTCTCCACCAGTGACATCCATGGGTGACAGGGGTGGGGTGGCCCTGCCCACTCACTACGTGCTGTGGGGGAGTCTCTGCTCCAGCTCACCTCCTTCTCCTCCTTTCTTCCACTGACCTCAGTATTTGTGTAGATGTCCTCCTTGCAACTCCTCACAACTCTCCCACCTCTTCCCAGGTTCCCCTTCTTAACTATGTTATCACAGATGCATGGCCATGATCACTAATTCGCTCGTCCTTGGCCAGAATTGGGTCTGACTTGGAGCCAGAGGAACTTCAAGAAGCTTCTCACAGGGGCCACAGCTGTATCCCCCACCTCTATTACCAAAACAACCCACCACACACACACACACATACCCAACACAACATCCAAATCATATATAAGATGCAATATACTGATGCCTAAATTTAACTATCATAAACTGAGCTGAACACCACCTTACAGAAAGTGTATTGCATTGGGTATTTCTTATCACAATATTTAATTCTTCCTGAGCATCATTCTCTGTCATGAAATACACTTTTATTTAAATTGATTAACTGTTTCTTCCCTTAGTTTGAGATGCACTGAAATCCTTCATGTTTTTCAGGCCTGTTTTTTCCAATGTCTTCTACCATCCCTCTGCTCTGCACTGAAAATCCATCTCTGGGTAGATAAGGGAACCTTGAGGAAGCTCCACATTGGCAAATCTGCCTGCTGGAAGGATTTATTTTAATCTGGATTCCACACAACTAAGCTTTTAGCAGAAAGAATGTTGACAGTGTAAGAGTTAAAAATCGAGAAATTTCAGTCACCTTAACAACCTGTCTGTGCTGCAACACCAAGAAAAATAGCAGAAACTGTTGTTTTTAATCTTTCCAGGTTGTCATGTAGTTTTGGAAAGGATTTTGGAAGAATACTTGAAGAGTTAAACTGTGTAAAATATGTCAGGGTATTAAAGGAAAAGAAAGTAGATCTTAGTTGATATAACTTAATGTATATTGCAGCTGTCCTTTGGTAATCATTCAAATCTTTCTAAAGAGAAGGTGTATCTCAGGTTCACATTAGGTGAACTGGCTGTGAGCAGGGGTCAACGTTTCCGTGCAGTTTTGTGGACTGCACACATCCAGGCAGGCCAGCAGCGTGCGCCAGGAGATGGCAGTGCCTCCACGCAGACTGCACAGCACTACTATGTGGGATCATTTTTGGAGGACAATGGCCCCGTCTGACAATAGCAAGACTGGCTACATCACAAAAGGGACGAGAAAAGAGGAAGAAGAACTGAGAGTGCTGTACAACTGGTAAATGATGAGAACATCTAGACGTTTGTTGGCCAGAAGCCTTGGAAGTAGCAAACAGGAATATAGAAAAACAAGATAAGGATGCTGAGCTCTGCCTGAAGAAAACATGTCAGGCTATGGTTGATGGGAAACATCTGGTCATTTCTTAAACAGTGAAAAGTTTTCTATCTTGAGCTAAAAGTGTATAGAACATTGTGTTTGTGCTTGTAAGAGTTAATTAACCAATAGGCTTTAGGATAGCAGTAACTAACTTGCAGACAATGAATTGTCTGGTGTATTATGGACAGGGGGTAATAACCAATCAAATGTTAGTCTTAGGCATGTGAACAGTGTGTGAAGAATGCATGTAACCAATCAAGCCTTCTGTTTATGTGTGATTAGTTGCTAGGAAGATTTATAAATGCACTTGTATTAGCAATAAAGGGATTTAGATTTCTGATTCTTATAGAGTTGCTGGAGTCTGTGATTCTCCTCACCATTAGACTCAGCTTGTGATAACCCCTTTGTTCCATTTGAAGGCCTGCTGCAAAGTAATGAATCCCTGAAGTGTTCCCTACTCCTGCATACACCATCATGTCCTCATATGCGACACCAAGAAGAGATCAGCAGCCTTTTCACAGCCCAAATAAAACCATTTTCCAAGAAAATTTTGCACTCCCCTGGATTATTACCCTCATCACCAGTGTGTTCCAGGTGTGCCCTTTATTCAAATTATGTGAATAGTGGCTTTGTATATACACAGAATATCCACATATACACAGAATCGAGTATAGCCTTTGATACTAGCTTATGGCTTACACATCCAGGTCCAAAATGTTTGAAAAGTGAAAGGCTTGGAAATGTTAATAGCATTGGGAGGGATGCAGTGACATTTTGGACAAATGATGGGAAGAGCAGGAGGCTGGTGAATTGGTGAGTTTGCTGGAGAACTTTTGAGTCATTGAGTTGGATCTTTGAGATGAGCTGTGAGGGTGACTGGAAAGCGATTGAGACATGAGGAGATATCTGGGGATTTGCATCACCAAGAAGATCTGAAACTTGTTTCTAATCTTTCCAGTTTGTCATGTGGTTTTGAAAGGAATTTTGAAAGAATACTTGAAGAGTTAAAATGTGTAAAATATGTCAGGGTATTAAAGGAAAAGAAAGCAGCTTTTCTCAGTTGATATAACTTAATGTATATTGCAGCTGTCCTTTGGTAATCATTCAAATCTCACTCAGGAAAATGCAAGCTGAATGTGCGTGGTGATGGTATATGGGTACAAACTAGGTTGTGGGGTCTGGTAGGAATGGTGGGATTGCTAAAGCTGTTGAATTTTGATGAGGAGACTGAATGCTGAATGACTGATGGAAAGATCCTTCATGGTGTACAGGGACCTATCACCTCTCTTTGCCATCTTTCCTTCTACCTCTGGATCACTGGTCCAGTAAAGAAGCTTCCTAGCAATAAAGGAAAAAGACATACAGTGAGATAGGTGGTCTTAAAGTCAAATGCAGTCCATCCTGGGAGCTCAGCTTGGAAGTGGGAATTGATGTGTGACACAAGATGTCTGGTACATGCACCAAAGAAATTATGAAGTTGGGAGAGAAAGTATGGTGAGATTGTATTGGGATGACGAGTCTCCATAACATAAAGCCTCAGGCCAGATTTTTTTTCCAAAAAAAATGTTCCCACGTCAGCTAAAAGCAGAAGCATAATTCACTCCAACTTTGTGCCTTCCCAAAGGCAGATGAAGAGATATGGGTCAATTCCTTCATACAAACAATTCATTAATGCTTACCACAACTATTTCCTCAAGAAAACATTCAGAAGTAGTCAGGTACTTGAACTAACAGTATTATCTCAGAAATGGATAGAAGCAGGATACAACAGACCTATGTCTTAGTGATGGGAGTGGGGTATTGTCCTGGTTTTGAGTTTGTGGTGGGGTTGGTTTTGGTAGCAGAGGAGGGGGGCTTCAGCAGTTACCCCCTGTGAGAAGCTTCTCGAAGCTCCCTTGGCTGCAAGTCAGCCCCACCTCTGCACTAAAACTGAGCCAATCAGCTGCACTTCTGCAATAGCATATTTAAGAAGGGACGTGGTGAGGAGGAGTCAGACTTGTGAGGCGGAGTTGTGACAGCTGCGCGAACACCAAGGTCAGTGGAGGAACGGAGGAAGAAAGGAGGGGGGAGGTGTGCCAGAGCAGAGACCCCCCTGTATCCTGTGGTGAGACGGCATGGCCGTCACCCCCTGCCACCCATGAAGATCTACAGTGGAGCAGTCATTGATTTATGACCTGTGAGGTGTTTCACATGAATGACAAAAGTGACTGTGCCCAAAGAAGACCAGGATCCTGTGGGAAGAAGCAACGCGAGCTGTTTTAGTTCGACACTGGAAGGATTGCAGCATTCGGGAGTGTCCCACGCTGGAGCAGCTCGGGAAGGGCTGCAGCCCATGAGAGGGACTCTAGTTGGAGAAATTTGGTGTCCCACATTGGAGCAGTGTAGCGAAATGCTGCGGCCCGTGGGAGGAACTCACATCGGAGAAAGTTTGTGGGGGACTGTCTCCTGTGAGAGGGGGACCACGATGGAGCAGAGGGAAGAAGTTCTAGAACTTCCCCACCACCAAAGATGGAAGAAGCAGCAGCACTGACTGCAACCCTCATTCCCTGCCCCCTGCTGAGGGAGGAGGTAGAGATATCGGGAGCAGAGCTGAGCCCGGGAAGAAGGGAGGGGTGGGGGAAAGTGTTCTCAAGATATGGAAATACTTCTCACTGTCCTACTCTGTTAAGTATTGTTGTTAGTGTCCGTAATAAATCTGTGTTCTCTTTTTCTTCCCCTAACGAGTCTGCCTTTTGCCCGTGACCATAATGTTTGATTTGCCCCTCCCGGTCCTATCGCAAATACCAAGCCTGGCTTATTTGTCCCTTCTCATTGCTGGGAGGGAAGGGAGGAGTGAGCGGCTGTGTAGTGCACAGTTTCCTTCTGAGCTCAAACCACAACAGGTATTAACTCAGGCTGCATGATCATGTAATGTGAGTCTTTTCTTGGCTGAAAAGGTCAAAATTGTATATATTAATTGGCTTCAAATCTGTATCCAACACAATTATAAGACTGTCTTTTTTTAATAAAATCTCACATGAAATATCCAAATTGACATCATTAAAATTTACAAACTCACAACAGCTGTAATCATCACTTGCATTTTATATATGTACATCATATACATATGTTCACATCACTATGCTAGGCAGCATACTTAAACAACACAGGAGCAAAGATTACTTTTACAAGGAAAACTGTTAAGGAGGTCAGAATAGACAAAATGACAGCTTTTAGAGGACATTTGATTCATTGGAACAGATGGGTTAAATGCCTAATTAATAAAGGACTGATCTGAATCATATTTATAAAAATCTGGAAAATTCATCTCTGCTGTGATAATGGAACTAGAGATAAAGCACTTAAAATCAACAGAGGTTTCCACAAAGCCAAATATCTCCTGGCCTAAATAATTAACCAAAAGTAAACCAAAATGAGGTACTGGAGCACTGCTTTTTAAAGCTAAACAGATATTGCTCTTCACAGAAACCCATCATGTACTTCAATGGCCATGGTCTCTAGCAGTGCTTTCAAGCCTGAATGCAGGTTCTCCTGGGAATGGTCCTATCTTGAAAGGAACTATAGCTGTGTCTAGTATGCTTTATATGCCCTTTCTTTACTTTTGGAGAGTCTGAGGTAGAGTCCAGCTCATCCCTGAAGAAAGAGGAAGGTCACCCAAAGAAGTGATGTAAGCACAACATTGTCTCATTATGTTTTACTAGACCATACTTTGCTTCACTAGACCACACTGCTGTGTTGATAATTCTGACTCCTGAAAGCATCATTAAGTGGGGTGATAGTGACCTGAGAAATGATAGGCAGGACTGAGAATCACAACAATCACAGCAGATTAGTTCTCAAAGGGAGGTCCCAAAAAATGCACAAAACCACAGTTTAATTGTGTATTTAATTGATGGATCCAGACAATCGTCAAGGTTATGGTGGTAGAAGGTCTGTTCCAGATTCACAGACACCAGCATCCAGGCACTAAGACTAGGTCTGCAAGTTATTCTGAGCTCAAGGTAGCCCAAATGACATACTGCATTTGATTTGCTCTATGTTCTTCCTTCGTATGCACAAAATCTACCTAATGTCCAGCTACTCTATGTTTTCCCATGGTCAAGAAAGGGCTTGGGGTCCTCTGGCCTAATTTAATCTCTCTGTTAAACAGGCATGAAAGAAAAAACCCAAGCAGATATCATAACTCATTCTTTTCTTTGTGTCACTCTTGAGACACCTTGAGATTCCTTTTAAAGGAGATTGCTGATCCATAGGTAGGTCCTTAGCAAGTTTCTGCACGTAATTTCTATTAATTTGGCTGAAGTTGGTCTCATTAAATTGGTCTCAAAAGAGCTAGTAAAACATCACTAATCAGTATGGCAAACCTTTGCCACCACATAACTGTTTCAGATGAAGATCAGGAATAGTGCTATTGAAAACTCCAGCAACATTAACTAAGACATGACAAACATGTTGGGTCTGAAAGGAATTAATGTATTTACTTTTTTTTTTGGGGGGGGTGGGGGGGTGTTAACTTGTTGATTCACATTAGCTTAAGCATTTAATGACAAAACAAGTGGATTTTATATTCTTAAAGAGAGATAGAGAACCAGTGTTGTGATACTGATCTGTACCAGTGGTAAAAGCAGCTCATATTCAGGACAAGAAATCCACAGAAAGCTCTTGGCACTATGGAAAGCCATAAAGGATCCAAGCTGTCCATCTCCTAGGTAGTTTGTTACAACATCACAGCAACCCATCCTGCTAGAAAAACTCAGACAGAAGTTACACCATTCTGGTACACAGATGTTTTCCTTTTTGGACTGATTTTTTCAAGCAGTGATAACTGAGTGACATAGTTGACTGGACTGTTTTCTCTGGACACAGTCCCGTGTTTGTGTATGAAGTTCAGGTATTCTTGATACTGCCATTTGCACAGTTGTTTCTTCAGTTCACTTTGAACCTATAGAAAAGGAATTTAAAAACAAGAATCAGAAAAATAAGACTTAGTGAACATTAAAGGTAAAATATGCCAAAATGTCAGCCTGACTACTTAGCCCAGATGCATAAAGACACCCAAATCAGTCAGCATCAAGCCTTAGCACATTTTTAGAAGAATTTAAGCTATGTCCTTATTCACTTTTGAAAATAAACAGATTTATTTTCCAAAATTCAGAGGATGACAGGGAAGTTTTTGACTGCAGTTTCTTTGTTTATTGTTATAGGTCTGATTCATAAATATTTCTACCTTTTTGTATAATTTCTATTTTTCCTCATACACAGTCTCCTTGCTATGACTTAATATGCACAGTAAGGGTCCTTCTCCAGGCTTTCACTTTAACCAGATTGAATTCCCTCTTAAAGATCCCTTACTGAATCTTAAAGATAGTGAATCAACGTGAATACATACTACATTTGAGAGAAGTCTCAGGAATCCTCAAAAACATAGGCAAAACTGATTTTTCTATCAACTGACACACAACTAACAGGTAGGTTGAACAACCCTGGAGGTTCACAGCCTACTGCTAACACTACTGGGACTGGGGTGAGGAGACAGGGGGAAAACAGGCTCTGTTGCCCTACAGAAAGAAACTCACACTCAAAGCTGTAGCAGAGGGAGTGCAAGTAGGTGCAAGAAACGCACAGTTCTTGCTACCATTCGCATGAGAAATCTGCTTCATCTCTATCTGCTTCTTCTACAAGGGGGGTGGCTCTCCTGAATGTATATAAAGTGACTTATAAATGACAACATAAACTGAGAAGATATGTCAAATGTTTCTAACCATATAGCTGCCATTTTCTGTGGCTGTCATTAGTGCTGAAAATCTATGACAGCATTATAGTTATAGCACCATTAGCACAAATCCACTCCAAATTAAATGTAGTTAATGTTAAGTGAAAAGATTAATTCTTACAGGCGATGCATGTATGGACAAATGTGATTTAAGTACTCTGAATTTAGGAATTAATCTAGTAATTCTGTTATCTGATCCTCTATTAGGTATGGTCTCTACAGCGACATACAGAAAAGAGGGTGAGACATGCAGAAGTACATCTTGGACATCAGGGCTCCCTGAAATTCACTGACAATATTTATCATTGCTTATTATCTATTCTGCTCTTATTGTCTCTGTTAACCACACAGGTATGTCAGCCCCTGTGCGCAAATTCAAGTACGGACAGAACATACCCTATGGATCTTTCAAGACTAATAAAGAAAATAGGGTCTTCCTCCACCAACCCAGTACTCCAGTGCTATCTCATCAAGCTCAAGACTCTTCAACAATCCTGTGTACAATATCAGCCCTTACTTTCACCTCACAGAGATACCACGTTGCTTGGCAGCAGCACAGTCTCTCACATTGTTGTAAATACTTAAAACTGAAGAAACACACATAGAAAATAATTATTTTTATGATTTCAGGGAACCATAACAGATGCACTGACAAGTTGTAATGAGTGGCCAATCTGCTTCAGAAGCAGTTAGCCCTAAGCAGCATGGACACAAGCCAACACATACCACTTAATTTTGGGGCCAGAGATCACTTTCTGCCTGTCCCTTTTTTAACACCTCATAGATTGGTGTGTTGTGAGATACAATATGCAAACTATTTAAAGGCTGTTGGCAAGGAGTCTATGCAAACAGAAGGAAGGTGGGAAGTAGAGCATTCTGTATTTACAGTTAGTCTTGAAGGCACTCTCTCAGAACAGCACTAGAATGGCCATTATAAATGGTTTTCCTAAGTAACAAACATATTTTAGGCATTGTTAATCCTCGGGTGGGATTAATTTCACCTATGTTTAGCTATCCCTATGAGAAATGTCCAGCCTAAGCTAGTGAGGAGACTGAGGCACTGGTAGTGGGTCATTCTTCTCATCTAGCCTATACATTTTTCTGAGAATGAGGTGCGTTTCTACATTTTCTCATGGCTTTTTACTCATTCTGCTCTTTTGGGGAAAATGCAAGTAAATTTAGTTATTTTTTAAAATGATAGACTTTCTAAAATGCACTACAAGGAATTTATCTAAATTTTAACAATGTTACAAAACCAGGAAAGAATGTGTTTGAACAAAACTACTGAAAATATACAAGCTTCCATGGAAAAGGGAAGGGGAGAGCGAAGAAACCCACTAGGAGAAAATAAACCTAAAGAAAGTAAGGAATGTTACAAACTTTCCATAGAGACATCGTCATGATAGCTATGAGACATAAAGCAGAAAAAATGTCCCCTGACAGTAAAATCACTGACCATTTGTAAAGGGTCGTTGCTTCAAAACTTATTTTGTGTCCTTCTGTCAGAACTACATGAATACAAATAAAGTTAACAAAGGTAAGAAGGGAAAACAAAATATGGGTATTTCATGCTTTCAGGAGCAGATCAAAGCACAGATCTGTTCTGGAAATAAGAAAAAAAAATGAAAAAAAAGAGAATCCCATGAGTTTAAAAGGTTCTGATAATCTTATATACTTGCTACTCACCTCTGCATTTGAGAAGCAATATAGAAGAGCGACAACAAAACCCTAGGACAAGGAAGGTGGGGAGAAAAAAGCCAATCATCAGGATTTAAAGTATAGAATCAGAGAAAGACACCAGGTTTCATTCAAAATTTGAGTAAGACAGTAAAAAAACCCATATTTTCCACTGTTCTATTGAAATTTAAGTGATGTGCCTATTTATTGGATTTTCATAAAAATATTAATAAACTGGCAACACTATATGTATATTATTTTCCTTGTTTGAAGATGCTAAGGACTAACTTACTGTTCACTGTATCCTACAAACAAGTTCTCCCTCAGATAAGGTAGTAGGGACCTCTCTCTTGATCTAGTCTATATTTACTATAGTGAATAAACTGGGTGAGGAACTGCTCTTGTTTTGCATCTTTACTGCTAAACTGTCTTCTTTCAGTTAGAAGAAGATGGCTGTGTTCAGTCAACAACCTATTGGGAAAGGTCTTGGGTTCACATTCACCTAGAACTACAGTCAGGTGTTGTTGGGGGGAGTGTTAGTCAGCCAGGAGCAAAGCCATTTTACAGGCCATGCTAACAGGAAAACACTGGATAGGGCTGGACTACATCTGTATAAGTAAAGTGAACAAGGAACAGGCCTGAATACTGGCTTTTGCTTCTATGTGTTGTTAAAATGTCAACACAGCCCATGACACAGCTTTGTCTTGGGCCAGCAAATGTTTTCACACAGAGTTTGGTCATGGTCGAGAGGTAAGTATGGAAGATGGATCATGTTCATCACATATCAACATGGACAAGCTGTTGTGGGGTGCAGGTGAAAGGGTAAGGAAGAATACCTCAGCTATTAATTACAAACTGTACCATAGCCAGGCCCTGGCACTCTGAAATCCAAGATACTGTTCTGAACAGTGATATAGCAAAATAAAAGAAACAAAGAAGTATTGACATGATAGATTCACTATTGTTAAGGAGTAAGGGCAGAAGAGGTTGTTCTATTATAATTATTTTTTCATTCCTTTTACCATCACCTTTATTATATGTGGAATTAGTTTCATTCAGTTCACCTTAGTCCATAAACTGGTCTTCATGGCACTTTGTCATTGTTATTCAATAAAGGTAGATATTTTATTTTTTTTTCATTTTTTATTAATGAAGTCTGAGTCAGAACTCAAAAATAATGTGAGATTTCAAATAATAAGGTAATGGAACAAACAACAGAGTTGCGAAGGAGTAGGATGGAACAAGTGTGTTGAATTAAGACATATTATTGACACCTACTCTAATAACCAACCTAAAATGTAAAAATTCTGAGAATGTGGTGTTTCAGACAAAGCCTCTTAAAACTGATAACCATTTTGTCCAGCTTACCTGAAAAGAGCCCAAGCCCAGCTCAATATAAAGGCGAGCTTCCAGACCAGTACTTTCTGGGAAAAATGCAAATACAATGTAGTGCACTCCAAAGAGGGGGATTAAGAGTAATGTGGATTTAGCAAGTCTCCTGGGAAACCAAGAATTAAAGAACAGTGCACTGTTAGAAATATGGAACTAATGATAGCGATTATATATTGGAACAAATTTTAATACAGAGGCTAACTCCACAATGGAGGCAATCACATCTAACAAAGCTATGGAAAGATTACTTTCTGCCACTCTCATCATCAACACCTGGTGAACAAAGATGAACAAATCAGCATGCAAGTTTTCTGGATTGACTTTAAGGGTTCTTCTCCCTGCTATACATGCAAAAACACGGGCACCAAACTAAGTACTCTGGTCTACTCTCCAGAGACTAATTTCAATTAAATGTAGGTATCTATCTCCCACAGAAGTGTCTCAACTTTCAAAATTATGAATGGAGATCAAATCATCACTGTCCATAGGACTTGATTTAGTTGTTTAAACAGTGGTGTGAGAGCCACTGGTGATGTTCTAAGGTTGTCTGCTTGGCCTTCAGCTCACTCCAGAAAGGCACAGGTCTACACTATGTCCTGTGCCATAAGTAACAGCCATTTGGGATGAAAAGGAAAGTTTACATGGTTATTTCTTCTGGTGATTTCTCCTTCTGTTAGTAAGGAGTAGAACATATTCTGTACCTGTCCATAAAACATTTCCTATAGCAGCTGAAATGGGTCAATACCAAGAGACCCAGAAATACTTACACAAAGTGGCTTGAATGGCTCCCTCTTCCCTCTTGAGATTTCAATTTATGGACTAGAATTCTGATCACATTAATAAATATAACAAAGTTAATCTGAAAAGACAAGACAAAATCTGTAAACTTACTATAAATCAGGGCGTATCTTCAGTTGATATAAATTAACTAAAAATCCCCAGTCATAGGAATTGCATTGCTATAAACTAGTACAGATCTGGTCTTAGATCAAATCAACAGCATTAGAAACACTATTCATTTTTCCCACCAATATATAGTTATACATAAAGATATGCTGGAATTTATGTTGAATTAATATAGACCTATGTATCTCAATATTATTTTATGTCTGATATTAACTCCTTGTATGTGCTGTCAGGATCTAGCAGATCTTACATGGTCTAAATAATCCCCCATGTTCCCTTCAATCTTTATGACAGGGATCATAACAGATAAAGACCTAAATGACATACCATTTCCTCCCTAACTTTAGATGGAATAAATGTGTGCATAAGGGAGATTTTTTGTCTTAAGTTTACATCCTAAAAACCCCTTTTAAAAATATACAAGATAAAATTATCTATGTGCATTTCTTATATTAAACCAGCTTCCTTTTATCTAAGAATCTGGTCAGTATGTATTGCCTTTCTTCAGAAATGACTTACAAAGACACAGATGTGACTGGGATATGTGGAATACAGGTATCAAGATGATTCCGTTATGTCCTAGAATGACTCTAGATAATATAGGACTTACCCTTTTGGTTGTGATTTAGAGTGTTTTGGGGGGAAAACCACAACAAAACCAATAAAAATAACAACAAAACCACATTATACAATAATTACCAGCTATTTCAAATTCAGTATTATAGCATGTGCTATTGGTTTTCTTCCAGCTTATTGGAAGGAAACACTAATTTAGTTTTCACATTTAAAAAGATACTCAAGACAAAATGAAAAAACATACTAATACAGTTAACAGAATGGGGCCTTTGATGATCCATAACACCACTCCATTTTCATCATCATCCCAACATCTGAAAAAGCAAACAAAACCAGTCATTTTATCTGTCCCATGTGAACTTTCCACAATACATTAAAGTATATCAGCCACAGAATAGTAAAGTGAACGGCACTAAGTTTTAAATCATTGTTTAAAGGCCCCTGACAGTACTGGTACCTTGATACATCGCTAAAAGTTCCTGTGAAGCCCAATCTAAAGGAATTTTATTCAGTAAGAGGTAGGGGTTGAAGAACCAAATTAAAGTCAGGAAATGGACACTTAGATTTTCAAGCTTCTTTCTTGCCCTTCTGTTGAAAAAGTGACTGTATTACAGAGTACAGATCAGAACCTGAATACTGTGCAACCATGAATGTAATGAATTTGGGGTCATAAGGAAATAGGCAAGAAAAACCTAGATCCCCAGTAAAGGTGCTGAAGGGAGAGAGAAGAACGAGATTTTGGCCCATGTTTTGAGGCTGTTCACATATTTTACACCAATAACACCCTAGTTTAACTCCCTCCAGTCAAGTGCCATGAATCCTAGGTTATATCATGTCCCCCTCTTCCTGTATTTCCCCTTTCAGTTCTGTGACACAAGATGTTTGGCTGCATAACTATAAATCTTACAGATGGTGGTTTATCCCAGCATATCTGACCATAAGGTGTATCTTTGCAATGTGAGCAACGTGAGTTCAGACCAGCTGTATCTGAAGAACTTGGGTTTTCTGTTTGCTAGACTATCAGGTAAAAGATGAGTGGCTCTGTTACTTCAGTTTGTTTATATATCTAATATTAGAAGAGCAACCAAATGTATGGAGGATCTGCAATGAGACATCTAACTGTGTAGATGTCTTCATCAGATTTATTCAACTACATTTCCTTTGCAGTCAAAAGAGATCAGTAAAGCAGATACAATCTCATTTTAGAGTGGACATCTAAAATACAACAGAGAAGGGAACTGAACAGGTAGGCACTTTGCTGGAAGAGCACCAGTTCAGACACTTTTCAGCCCCTTTTTAAGCCTGTGAGAACTTGTCAGAGCTCTTGTTCCTGCTCTCCACCTTTCTCTGAACTCTCTTTGTAACTGGAGTATTTTATGCCAGATTCTTTTGCTACAGATGCAACAGATAAACCTAGAAATTCCTTGGATGAGGAGCAGTGGGAATGAAGGAAAAATGAAATCTTCCTTGCATCTTTCCTCGTTACAAAAAGGAAGCACAAGATGTGGAAAAGGAGACCACTTCCACTTATGAAACATTACAGTGCAGAACTACTTCTGCAGACTTTCTCCAGTAATCTGAAGAAAAGAAAATAGGATGTGCCAAATGTGGTGGACAATAGAACTTACTGCTTCTACATCATTAATCAGAGTCCTGAGAAGTTAAGTGTAAAATAATCTTTTCCAATGGATCATCCATGTAAAACGTCCTGAAGGTCTTCAGGGCAGCTTTTAATAAACAATCATCTGCTTTATACCTGGCTCTCATATTAGAAGCTATAAATAAAAAAAAAAATTAAAAATAAAAGAATCAACTGAATTAAAATTAAAGAAACTACTTATCAGGAAATAATGCATTTGTTTGGGAGGTACTTATTTGAAGAGATTAGGGTTAGTAATTTATGGGTGATTTTATTCAGAAGCAGTGATTTTCTTAAAATATAATTATTTCAAGGACTGGGCATTAGGAAACTAAATGAAATTTTAAAACTTACTGTGATATTTCCAGGATTTCTTACTCCATATATGCACATCAGAAGACTTAAAACTCTTGCTTGTATATGAAGTGTAAAGATTAGAGGCACAACTCTGGAAGAATTTTTTTGGTGTTCTGTCTTTTATATCTAATTTTCCCCACCAGAAAAACAAAATATAATACAAAATAGGATGCTCTTGGCTTCCTTATCCAAGCTCTGACTTACCCAGTATTTTGTTGATGGATTCTTGTGAGAACCCAAGCAAACATCACAGCAGCAGGAGCTCCTGGACAAATCAATATGGAAAACAATATAATTATTTTGAATACTATGTCCCATGGAAACTTTATTCCAAGAAGGTTCATAGTGTAGTAGGTTGGATGTACATTAAAGATCAAACAATGGGTCAGACAATTTTAAATATCTTTCTGAAATAACTTAACTTGCAGTTCAGGGAAAGAAAAAAGACAATATAAAGAAGACAGGAGAATGAAATCAAAACAAAGGAGAATAAGGAACGTTGTGAAACTGCTTTCAAAAATAACAGCTAAGAATTACTTGAAGGTGTGGATATGAATTACTAGCACTTGTGAAGCTAGAGGAATCACTTATTTAGCTAGAGCTCTTTTCTCATGTAAATTGTGACCAGCATACAAATCCTTGTACACTAGCTAGAAGAGGCCTCCTGAGAGGCCTCTGCTAATCACTCTAGACACATCAGCTGATCAGCATTCCCTGAAAATTTATCTAAATCCTGGAACTGGTGATTTCTAGCTTCACTTTATCATTGCTTATCCTTCTACATTTATGACTGAATGGTTATTTCTTTATATTTTTTTTTTTTCCCAAGGAGGCCTATAAACCAGCAATTGCTTTTGCTCTCCTTCTGTGGAATTGAATTTCCAAAGACTAAGTGACTTTCAAAGCTGCCACAAAGGGACTCTAATCTGTAGCAGGTGACATTTTCACTGATAAATCTATAGAAATATATGTAATATCTTTTTAAGCCTCATTTGAAATTTGTAGGAAAGGCCCAGAAGTTGTCCATCCTAATTTTAGACCTTTATTCAAGGCCTTTAATCTGGGACCATATTCAGTTCCAGTTGTCTTTTTAATTAATGAAGAGAAATATTTACATCCATATCACCTAACATCTGAGTTGACGCTGAGATGTCTCTCACTTTCCATTGATTATAGGAAGAGATGAGGATTGCTACATTATTAACAAAGGTATTTCCTTTGTTATCTCAAGTTAGCTATGATTAGTCAAGGTCTAAGCATCTAGTTTCAGAAAGTCATAACTGAAATAGCTACAAATTAAGATCCACTTTCTAAAATTCAGACTTGTAAAACTTAATTACATAACAAAAATGTCTGAGAACCTTAAGATGAAGGATAAAATACTATTTACTTCAGGAGAATTTGCTTTTCACTCTTAAGACAAAAATGTCAGTGTAGCCACTCAATTTGGGTGTCTCTATTTTAGAATAGCAAAGATGAGGTACAAGAATATCTAAGAGTCACAATAAAAAATTCTCTGCAGTGAAAGTAATTTTATGCATTATGTACACACATTCTGACAATCAGAGACAATTTTAATTGTTGTATAAACTCAAAAGATTCCTTAAAGCTGTAATGTGTCAAAAAAAAAAATAGAATTGTTTGATTCCTAGGTATGAACTCACATGATTTAAGATAAATCTCTCTAATTCTGTTTATTAAAAAAAAAATGTCCATTTAGTTAGTCACCCAAACTTCTTTAGTTAGGGAAGGCTACAGATTTCCAGGATGTTAACCAGCCACATTACTCAACTTCTTGAGGATTAATCACCATTATGGCATGCATACCTCATTCTACCAACTGAAGGAGAAATCTGGTGACATAGTTTAGATTAGATGGCTAACGTTTAAATTACTGTAGTTGCATAAAATTAATTTCAATCGTAAAGAAGAGTGCTGCTGTCTCTCAAGTAGTCTATTCATAGTGCTTCTAGTAATCCACCCTATCCTGTCCTTCAAATTTTTGAACAGTTAAATATATAACAAAAGAAGAAAAAAAAAATAGTGGTATGATTTTGATGTAGTAGTACTGCATGAATGGTCAGCTTTCAACAGAAAGGTGGCAACTTTGATAGGCACCTTTTATCTCAGAACAAACATTTTATCTAGTTCTGAAAGTAAATGTAAATACTAGATAACACAAAAAGGAAAAGAGTACTAACCCCAGCCAGTAAATATGAACCACCATACATACTGCTTGTCCGAAACAAAAGTCAGCAAAAGCAGTGTTTGGAGGTATATCCCTTCTATAAGAAGCCAGAAGAAATTGGCTAAAATACTGAACTGGAAGAATGCCACAGCAGCCTTACAAGAAACCTGGAAATGCAGAGGGGAAAAAAAAAAAAAAAAACAAAACAAAACAAAACAACAAAAACACTATTAAGTCTACTCTCCATTGTGTCTGGTTTCTCTACAATTATAAGCAAAATTCAGTATTACCACAGAGGAATGAAGAAATTATTACAAGATTTCAGTAGGTTTGTCATTCCATCGTTTCAATTGACTTTACTTCAGTTTTTGGAAAGGGAAACATTGACCCCTTCTTACAGATGAAATTCTCTACTGATAGAAACTGTTACAGCTTCATTAGAGTCAACAGACTTGTACATATCAAAGTTGGATGTAGACATAGCACTTGGTCTTTTGGTTTGTGTAGTGTTGTTTCTTTTAAGATTTCAGTTCTGGCAAATTAAAGAGAAATGGGATTAAGAAATCTCCATGTTCTCTTCAGGTTAAGAATTAAATGTTAAAGCGAGGATAAGGAATAGGGGAAGTTTAGTACCGTTGACATTAGGCAGTGGTCCATGGTTTCATCTGCAAACAAAACAGCATCTTTGGTGAAAACAGCAATTGCTCTCAGGATAAAGGAGACAAACAGGTGCATATGGATGTAATTCCGTGTACAGTGGAATTTTCTGACATGGAAAGAGAAAATAAAAATTCTTATTCAGGAGAAGTTTCTCGTGGTCTCATCAAAACTCAGAAAGGAATACAGGCTGACTTCAAACACCTTCCAAAGCAAATAAATGATCTGTCACTATCTGAGAGGGAACTAGACACAAGGTAGAATAACAGTTATTACATGTTTAAGCTAATGAAGGTACTAGTTTAATTGTTCTTGAATCTCCACACACTTAAAGGAGACGCTAGAATCAGAGAGTAACTCTGAGACTCTTAGGCTGTGTTGCAGTAATGCCTTTTAATTATTCTAAATAGCATTTTTTGCTGAACAAGCTTGCAGACAGTCTCTTCAGCCCCTTTCTGGCCAGAGGAGACAGAATATTGAGTGGGTGTCAGTCACATGTTGTGGGATGGCTGCCAGAGAAGTAGATACCTTACCCTGGACTGTATTTCCCTACGTTGCCCTGTCCACGATTTGACCTTGAGCTGAAGGAAACTCCTTCAAGGCTTGGACATATCAACATCTTGGGTCTGGGTATCTCTAGAAGTGATATGACCTTTCAGACTGCAAATCCACTCCAGTAAGGACGCTGTTTCTGTGCTCTGCACTCCTGTATGCAGAGTAAGCTTAAGGCTTTTGTCCAAGTACATTGGAACCAAGCAAAACCAGGATTCATTTCCTAATAACCAACATCAACAAATATGACATTTAAATTTCTTTAAATCTCTTTCTATAGCTCCCAGTTATGGAATCAATGGTGTTTCACAGAGGGATTAGACAGTTTAGAATTACTGCTTGTTCAGAGGCATGAGACACTCAATTTCTGCAAAGTATATCCTGTTATTCACTGGAGGAATAGTTATGTTAATAGTGATAACAGGTTGGAGCATTTCCACTGTGTGGTGTCATTAAAAAGAGTAAGACATACTGCCCAGCCAGCTTTGTTGTTTTAACATCTGCAGGGAAATGCAACAACGTGAATAGAGAAAGACTCATTGCCATCAATGGTGTTATATTTGAGAAGGATTTTAAAAAAAAAAGAATAAAAGAATACCACAAAACAAAAACACAGAGGGTTTTAGAGGAATTAGGATGAGGCTGTCTTAAGACATCCTGAAAAAGAGACCATTTGTTTTTACCTGAAAGCAGCAAAGACAATTAGAGCTGTAATGAGTGAAGTCACTGATGCTGCATAGCCAGCAGTGTAGACACGCCAAAATGCAGAATAATATGATTTCTGTGAGAAAAAAAGAACATAGACCAATGCTGATGGTTATGCAGCATGCATGCTGGTGTGCTGATTTCTCCAAGATACATATTTCCTTACCTGTCAGACCCATCAGTTATGCACTGCTTTGCATACTTGAGATCTGCTTCAGTGTTTCCCTCCATTGCTAAAACACTTTTTTTTTCTTTTGATCCCTACTTAACCTTACACATGAGATAAATTTCACAGCCCACAGGCTCATCTCCATGTTCAGCAAGAAAATGTTAACATTGTTAAGTAATTACATTTTTTTCCTGTATGTACCTAAATATTCTAGGGGGCTGAAACCTGCTGATGGGTGATTTGTGAATCCATCACTTTAAACCTGGACCATATTTGATAAGTATTGGTTTTCATAAACAGCTACAGCTAAAAGAGAAATAAAACTTGCATTTTGCAGGTAAGGAAACAGAAACACTGTGAAACAGCCACATTGTATTGTGGAGGTTAAACAGTTAAAGCCAAGAAAATAACCTCACAGTCTAATTCTTTGGACAAACAATTCATTCAGTTGTCATATACTGTAATGCTATAAATTCTTTATAGTTTATTTGTTCATTTATTTTGCACTTAAACACCCTGTGTCCTAAGAAAAATGAAACATGTTTACGTTGCTTTATCTATGTAAATTTTATTCTGATTTACTACAAGATCACCTAATTATTTAAAATCCCAAGAAACCAAATTCTCTGAATCCAAGCAAATTTCCTCCTCGCACATGCAGTGGACACTTTGTTCTCTAATTGATATAAACTCTGTCCAAAAGGCAACAATTCTAGGTTGAGACAACCAATTAGCAATTTTAAGTAGATCCATAAATAAATCATGTAACCCTGACAATTTAGGAATCATCCTGGTGTTTCTGAAATTGTCGTAATCTTTTATATAGTGTTTTCAAAACACAGTTAAAAATCAGAACATAAGTTCTTCAATTGAAAATGAAGTACTTTGATGTGTTTTATCTGTTTTTGTAAGGTAACTAAAAAAGCAACACCATATGCAGAAGACATGATAAGTCCTCACTGCAGATACAAAATACAAAACAAGTGGTTCTTTTAGAATATGAGGGGGATTCTTCTTACTTATTTCCCTATGTTTACAATGTAGTAGAGCTAACTGATCTTATCTTCCTTTTAAACACCTTGTGAGTTTGACTAGAATAGCAGACTAAACACAGTTGCAGTACAGACATGTGCTCTGCCCTGAAATCTTCCATAATATTAAAATGTAAATATAGTCCCTTGCTTGATTTCAGCCTAGGCCAGCTACAAACTATGCCTGGTTTAATACAAGCCAGGGACTGCTTGGAGAAAGCCACCCTGGAGAGTAAGAGAGTTTAGCTCTGTGGGTGAGAGCCATGCCATGGCAGCTGGCCCCAGGGCTGGAGAGCTGTGCTCCAGAATACATGCCACTTTACGACTTACATCCCTTGTGAACTGTTTGCATGATTTTCAGCACCTTTCCAGAAGTTTTTTAGGCATTTATCTTTCTAGCTTCCCCACAGTGTAAAGAAGTACAAATATTATTAGTTTACATGTGGGGAATTGAGCTCCACATACCTATTCTGACTGTTACAGCCGTGCTTGAGTTTCTGATTTCATGGAGCCAAATGGATGAAGCCAATTGTGTCTACACTTCCTAAAGATTCAGATACCTAAGCTAGTGCTTCTGTGCTTGGGCTTGCACGCCTGGAGAATCAAATGGTTTACTCCAGATATCACTCAGTGTTAGTGATGACAACCCTCTTCACTTTTCTGTGTCTTGCTTTGGCCTGTGACAAATGACATTTTCCACTGTTCAGTCATGACTGCACACTCACAACGTGCTATATGATTTAGTCTTTTCTTTCATAGGTCGGAGGGAATCCATTGCTTCTATCAAGATACCACAATAGGAGGAGGAGGCACTGACATACCCCTTCTTGCATTTGTGCAAGAAGTATGAGCCTTGTCCAATACAGACCGGAGATGAGGGGATGGAGACACTCCTATTCTCTCTTGCTGGAACTGTCCATTTTAGCAAAGGTCAGAACTCAAAGTCAGAGGCAGCGAGCATGTCTCCGTTAATCAACAACTTTCAGCCACGAAGCAAAGTTCACCACTGAGACACTACCACCACCAATGAAGTGTGAGGCATTACTATTCTGGGGCCAAGTACAATGATGAGGAACATGGAAATTTAAATCATATGAAGATATGGGTGAAAAATAAATGCTTCTGGAGCCTAACTGGGTACCAATGAAGATCATCAGATAAGAAAAATAGAGGTTCACTTCCTACTCCACTGAACACCTAAAATAAAGTGTGAAAATACTCAATGACATCCAAGGGTTCCCTCCTCAAGACCTGAGTTGACCACCGTGCAATAAAGTTATAGAATCTTTTCCTCTGACTCAAAGAACAACTGGAAAAAAATCAACAAAAGAGATCCAGAAGAATTTTCCCTGAAAAATTCCACTCAGGTTGGTAAGGCTCCTCTGGGAGCTGGGTGCATGATGAAGACTCAAATCAACTTTGTCAGAGAGCCAAAGACTTTATTAGGTAGGAAAAATGAACTAATCATGAGTCTACTTATTAACACCAACAGGAGATATTTAGGTGGAGAGGAAAGTGCTACCTGCTACTCCCTTGCTTTATATTAAGCTTACTTTGTTAAACAGGCTCCAAATATACCTAAAAGATTTGAGTTTGTCACTGAAGACTGGTAATTACTGGATTCTGACAGGGATCACATGTGTGGGAATATCCAATTACTCAGCACACAGAAGAGGGTGCTCTGGAGATGTCTGCATGCAAGAAATAAAAAACTCACCTGATCCTCAGGCCCTTTACTGGAACCTTCATCAAATCCACAGGCAACAGTGTATGGTGGGAATGGTTCTGACCAATATGCATCCTGTGTACAGTTTCTCTGAAGAAAGCCTTTCATGGTAAAATATATCAGAGAATGAATCAGGGTGGAGAGGGGATGTCTTTAAGTTTCAATGAGAAACAACAAAGTTTTATTCCTAATTTGATTCTTAAATTAGATACTTAAAGGTCTAGTCATGTTCAGCAAAATTAACTATAGAGTTGTAATATTCTATATATCTATTGTTTGAAACGCTGAGACAGATGTTCCCATTCATTTTGAGATGCAGTGGAATTTCTACATTTCATATGGAAAATTCATTCTCTAAATTCAATCCTTACACAGAGGTAATCAAATTAGGCAGCCTATCCTACATTAACAACGTAATTTGTGCTTGTGGACAAAGCCTGGAGCCACCTGATATAGCTTTGAAGTTAGATAAAATTTTTGAACTCTGTCCTGTTCCTACTTGAGGAATGGCCTAAGTAACATCAAGAGGTCCTTTCTAACATTAATTATTCTACGACTTTATAAATCAGTGAATCTATGAGATACTTGTATTCCTTTATAAACTTAACAACATAGTGTGGTTACCCATATTTTTTAGACCACCAAAGAAATTAGAAAATTTAGTACAGCGTAACACAAGAGTGCCAAATATTGACCATAAACCAAGATGTGTATCTGGATAATTACTGTATGCCAACTAGCATAAGAACATTGTGAATCAGGAAAATATGAAAGTTACTGAATCTTTAACTATTAGAATTTATTTAAAACAAATATATAGGGATAAAAAGAATAGGAAAAAAGTCTTGCCTTGGATATTAGTGATTTCTTCAAAAAATCTTGGACAGGGAACTTTAACCACTTCCCCAAAAGTAGCTCTGGGCCAGCAGGTTAAACCATCCCAATCTCTGGAGCATCCTGAAAGAAAAGTGACTCTAAATAAAGAAACACACAGAATATCACACTGCTGATTTTCCATAATGAGATTGTCTGTGGCTTTCCCACTAATTCATATGCAAGAGCCACAACAGAACATGCAGCTCTGCAAATGAAGGGTTGCATTGTTTTCCTCTTCTCCTTGAATGTATCGTTGATCACATATGCACTTGGAATTCCAGCTGGTCCTTCCCCCACCTTATCTCATGAAAGAATGTACCTGAAATTCAAGGAGACACAATCTGAAAGTCTTTCTATTGTCAAAACAAAAGTCACCAAAATAAAAATATTGATTAATTATTATCACTTGAGATTTCTCATTACTGATTTCAGACTTTAACTGAAAAACACCAGACCTGAAAATTCATCCTTAATCTCTTGATTCCATGCTTAAACTCTACCAATATCATCTGATTTAAAGGAAATAAGAGCTGAAGTCCTGGTCTTAGGCAATCAGTCAAATTTTTTCAATGGACTTCAATATGGATTAGATTCATCCCAAACTAGAACAGTATCTCCCGATATCATATAAAATAATCATCATCATTCACGAGGTTCCCTAAACCAGAGATTGCTAGCTGATCACATAGGGCATGCTAATACCTGGGAGCGCGATAAAAAAGGGATTCAGAACTTATATTTAATCACATTTTTGTCACGTATACATCACATTGAGACTCAAGCTGTGGTCATGCAGCATGTGTTGGCAAGTAGGTGTGGGTGCAGCAGAGAAAAATTATCAGTATGCAAAGGTGCATGGACCAATAAAAAAAGCACCGTGCTGTAACTGAAACCAATCTCTAGGTAGTCGTAAGGTGGATATAAAGCAGTGCATAAGTTTCATTTGGGAGGTGTTATTTTCTTTCACTGATTCTTTTCTGTTTCCTCTGTGACTGATGACAAGGCAAATCTAAAATTGTCAAGAGCTGAAATGTGGAAGCAATATTACTTGCTTGTAGCAGAGCAAAGTTACTCTCCAGCTTCCAAAATGATAGTCTTGAGAATCTCCCACAGCATTATCCTCACATCACCCTTGGGAGAATGAAAGTCCTGGTACCCCCAATTTGCCAGATGGGAAAATAGAAGGCCTGATTCATTATCTCTAATTTTAATTGTCTAAAATACGTTAGCTAATCTTAGCTAATGTTCCTAATAGCTAAGAGACAGGGACTTCCAGAGCATGATTCATCCCATATATTGGCGGTTCCATTCTGAGGACAGGATGAATCACTTCTGCAAATACCTAGGTCTCTCTGATGATTATAGCCTAAACTAGGCTGATAATTTTCAAATTAATAAAGTCAGGTAATGAGTCCCACTTAGACATGCAGAAGCCCACACACTTAGACTTAAGGACTTAAAGGATCCATCTTAGAGGGACTATAGTACCTTTGAGAAGCTGGGTCTAAAAATCTATTGTATTTGTCAATGTGGAGTTAAAAACAAGAATCGGTTGACCTTATGTAGGACTGGAACCTCTATGTCTTAAGTCTTAGCTATGGCTTCATTTCCAGTGACTTTTACAGTTTATATCAAAGAAACCACTGAGTGCAGAGGCAGAAAGAACATTCTACATGCCAAGATTTTCAAGACACTAGTGATCATTCAAGTCACCTGAGACCCCGTAAAGACAACTGCAGTTGGAATTGTATCAAGTAATGTTGACATGATAGATATTTAAGTCTTTTTCAATAATTCAGGGCTCGTTTTTTTTTTCTTTTTTTTTAGACAATGGAGAAAACCAAGCATTTTTAGAGCTTGATTCAATTGACCTATTTTATACATCTACTTCAAGATGAGAAGAATTGTACCCTGGACTGTATTGATGATACTCATTAGATATTGCTCTGTACAAGAATAATGTGGAACTACTTCAGATTAAAAAGTCTGCAACATAGACTAGTTCCAGCACAGATTCTCTGTGACTACTGAGAAGTACCACTGTACAAATTGTGATCCTTGTTTGTCTCATTCAGTTCCAAAAATTGAAATGCAAGCTAGCGACTTTTGTCAATCTTAGTCTAGTTTTAAAATATTCCAGATAAAATACTGGGGATTAGTTGTTTTTTTTTTGATCTAATGTTTCATTTTAAAATACATTGAGAAAGGCTGAAATAACCAAATAGATTTTTATTAGTCTTTCCATCTCCAGAGAATAAAAGATGGAAAGAAGAGCTTTGAGAAGATCAAAATTGACAAGGTTTAATATTTTTAAATAATTTAACAGAAATTTAAGGGATTTTTATTTTTTATTAGTAGCCTTTGCTACAAAGAGGATCCCAAAATCATGTCATTATTTTTCTGGTAAAGAGAAAAACGTCATACTGTAATGAAAGTAAGAAATCATTATCAAAAATACTTGATTTTTGTCTGATCTTTTCGGTGTGTTACTGGGTGTTCCAAGTGCAAAATGTGTCCAGGCAGTATTCTGGACTTGATTAAAGGTGGGGGAAAATACCACTAAAATAGAGTAGACAAGTACAAGAAGGATATCAGACATCAGATTGATTAGAAGTGCTGCAGAAGAATAAATAAGATGTTAAAGGAAATATCCTGGGGGTTAGTCTCTAAATTTCAATAGGCTACTAAAGGCAGACTACCAGGAGGTTGCAACATTTCTATTCACATCAAGTGTGCGAGACATCTTTGTCTCTGTAGAAAATGAACATATGATAATTCATGTAACTGAAAAAGTATCACTGAGGCAGATTCATATTTTTCTAAACAAAGTTGGCCAGAAAAAATATAACTAAACTTTTGAAATAGTTTGAACATTTTGAAAGATCACTTTGAATGAATTCAAAACATGTCTTCACAATGTCAAAACCCCAGCAAAGAGAACCCCCTATGTGGCATTAAAAAAATACCTTACAGGCTCTCTGAAACATTTGCTTTAATTTTCATAATTTTTATTTAAGCATGCAATAGATTTCAAAACACCGCTACAATAAATCTTTTCAAACAAAGAACCTCCAAAAAAATGTAGAAATAGAATATTTTGAAGAAGTTGGGGGTTTTGTGTTTTGGTTTGGTTTGGTTGGTTTGTTTTATTTGTTTTCCAAATAAGATTTTCACAAGATTGGAATGATTCCCAACACAATATAATTTCAGCATGATTTTCAGTGTCTTGTGTGTAAGTTTCTTTGCAGTTTTGGATATAAGGACACACCAACTACTTTAGGAATTTAATACAGTCTAAGTAGCTTTTTCTTTTCCTAACTAAGCATCTAAACTTGTCAGGGTCTGAATTAATCATCCTAGTCTCATTCTGTAGTTAGTAAAGAGAAATACTACTCTAGAGAATGATTCATCTTATTCCAAAGCAATCATTTAAACCAGAGGCAATGAAACATGCTCTAGGGACACCCATCTTTCTCCAGTTACTTTAAGAGTATCTGAGAATACAATTCCTGATTTAGACATTGAGCTTTTAAAGATGTCTAAAATGAGATGAGGTAAAATCCCAGCCTATAGAAAAAGCAATTCAAACTATTAAGAAACCACATAAAATAGGAATCAGATCTTGACTTAGGAGAACAAAAGATATCTTGACATTGTGCCCTTGAAATGATATACAAGGGATATTCATATCAGAGCTTGACAATCAGGACTGTTACCTTTAAGATCAAATGAAACAGATTCATTCTTTTCTAAACAGAGAGCTTCCTCTTTGACCACCTGCTGGAATATCTTGCATTCTGGATGTATTCCCACAACCTTGGTGAGAGAAAAACAAACAAAAAAAAAGTTCCGTGATTACTGAAATGAGAAGAGCCAGGTTTCTCTCCAGTTTGTACCTTGTGGTTGAAAATGTGAAAGGTCCAGCTGAGGATTTTGCTGCAAATAAGACATGTGAACAGCAGAAGGAGTCAGGAATGTCATACATTTATCGATTTGTGTACTTGTCTGGATATGCATACTCATATGGATTTTTCAGTGTATGCTAATAGTCAAACTCATGTAGCACCTTTTCTCCAATCTGGACATTTATACCACCTCTCCTTTACACCTCTGTTTTTCACAAAACTTAAATGGATTTCACAACCTTTGGATTTCCACCTCTTTGTCAGCTGGTCAAAATTAGATGAATGCATCAGCTATGGGAATATTCACACTGAGTTCCCCAAACATACATGCACTTTGACCATATATATTCTTTCCCCACAAAACAAATAAAAATATATAAATTTCTTTAAATATACATGTTGGGGTTAAGTTTTTTTAGTTAATTATTTTGGATGTTCAGAACTACCTATTGGCAAAACATTCTTATTTTCATTCTTAGGAGCTCCCAAGAATCAAGTTTTCTTTATTGGAGAAATTAGCACCTAAGTGTGACAATAGTCTTAACTACTCTTCAAGAAGGCATGTCTACTCTGCTTTGATGTTGATAGTAATAGAACGGGCTCCTGGAGTTCTTTGAAACCTTGAGATTATAGTGCCATACAGATCACTCTACTAAGAGATCATGATGTAAAATCTTGCCTTCTGAACACAGCTGTTATAATTATAGAAATAAAAACATTAAATAGGAGCATAAGTTTTATGTTCATTGGGGGTTAAATAAGAAATATTAAAGTTCAAGAAGTTAGAGAAAATAGAAAATGGCATTTTTGGCCATAGTTTAATCTGAGTGATGATAAAATTTTATTAACATATTATCTGAGGCTTCAACACACTCCTTCCAGAGGCACTGTTTCCATTTCATGAGATGAGAAAAGAGAAAAAAAAATAATGTATTGTTTTAGGGACTTAAAGAATGATACTTATCTTACAGATTAAGATACCTACATTTAAACAGCTAAACGGATTTCTAGACACTAGTTGTTGAATAGGGCCTACATTAATCTTCTTAAATAGAGATACTTAGTGTCTTTTAGGCGCTTTCATGTATTTATCTTGGCCTCCATCTCCCACTGCAGAAAGTTTCATGTCCCCTGTAGTCCTGCATCATATCTGCTGTAATTGTGAAGATGTTCTTCATACCTTAGAACAACCCAAATATTTGCCTCTGGAAAGGCAATTAAAGTATGAGAAAGAATCTACAATGTCGGTGTCTGCATGTGATCTTTTTATCTGAGCTTCTTTTGTAGTCCATGGAAATTCAAAGGATGTCTCACCCAGGAATGTTTAGTGCTGTCTGGGATGCTATAGAGTATCTCAGCCCTCTTGTGTAGATTCTGCATTAATTTTGCCAGCCCCACATAGAACTCTCAAATGCATTATTTGATGTCTCAAATATTTCTATACACCCATGTTTAGGTAACTGAATTAAACCCAGAGTCAATAGTGTCAATAGGGTTAACAGTCTAGAAATCAACTGGAACTGTATTCAGATGACTGAATATTGCACTAAAGCCTCCTCTGGCATATTGGGATTTTCAGGACATAGGGAGTCTTATATCGAATAGAACAGAGGGTTTGCTCCTCTGCAAGTTATGCTATTCAAGACAAAACCAGGGCCTTGAAAATATGGATTGAAGGCTGTCTGAGACATTTCTGAGGAAGACTATAGGCCATTCTAAACTTCTAATGACTTTGAAAATGCAGTACGTATGAAAACATCACTGCTAGACTGCCTTTTCAGTCTCAGGAAGTTGATTTATTGGCCTTCAGAATGTTTTCAGTCAGTAGTACAAGTAGGACTTATTTTATCCTCTACAGAAACTTTACTGGAAGTCATGTAGACTATTACATCTTAGCAATAATATCTGCTTAGGGAAAAAATAGAACACAACTTTATCTTTAAAAACCTTAAAAAATTCTGCTTACATTTGGGTTTTAAAGTAGCATAGACAGGCTACTATTTAATTATGAGGCCCTAGAGATGGTTCATACATCCTAATATTAGAACAGAGAGAGGACTAAGGACACTGTTTGAAAAGAAAATTAAGACATGGCTTTTTTCATACATAATATTCCTCCAGTGGGTAATTTGAAACACATTTTATAAATCAGCATGTGTGACTCTTAAAATAGTACTTCTTGCTGTTCAACTATAGTAACACAATTCTGAAATGAAAATTTTCAGGTATTAATCGGATCCCTGCACATTGCTTTATATTTTGACATACATTTCACTTTGCATTCAGCCTACATAACAAATAAATGATTTGAGTAGTAATAACAAAATGATTGCTACATAAATATCTCACTATTTCTGCTTATAACGATGGACAGGAATGAAGTAATTTCTCTACTTTTTGGAATTTCTGGACTCTTACTGCTGAGAATCTTTGTATTTGGAATATTCTTAGACTTAATGTTTAATGGTCATGACAACTTGACATGATCCTATACAACTTACCATCTATATTGAGTCCTCTAGTAAAAGACTTGAAAGCAACAGCCAGTCATGACTCAAAATAAAATCAAAATCATGAAAACGGATTTGATATATCTTTGAGAAACAAGCACTTGGTAGAGATGGGTTAATTTAACTCCCACCTCACGCCAGAGATGCTGGGAGTGGTGGAAACAGACACATAATTAGTCATGAAAAAGTTTCAGAGGAGGAAGGGTTATATTTCTCCAAAAGTCAACTTAAGCAACATATGTAGCTGTTGCAGGTGAAACATAAATGAGGAACTAAGCAGTTGAGCTCTCTCAAACAGTACATCAAACACTGAAGATATGCGCCACACTGCCTGCTGCTCCAAGTAGGTTGCATCGCCTTTATTCTTCCCTTTGGTAAATCTACATCTACTGAACCAGACCTTCAGTCACCATAATTCAGCAGAGTTGTACTGAAATCTGTGGAGTGCTGCTCATTTACAGTGGCTGGGGAAACCCATACCCTGCCCGTAGGGAAGTTGTACTGCATTGGTTTTACACAGGACAGAGGAATTGCTGTAACAGAACAGATCCCTAGAACATGTATTCCAGCCTCCTGCCTCTGAAAGCTGTGATGAGTCACCAGAAACCATGATTTTATTTTTTCTAGAAATACTGACCAACTGTTGGTGATACTCACCAGTGGTGAAACTGTAGGCAACCCCATTACCACTGACAGGTAAATAATTAATTATGCTCACATTTCGTTTGCTTTTGGATTACTGGATTTGTGTGTGGGGTGTGTGGTTGCAGCCACCAGATCACAGAGTTTTTGTTATAGGCCAATGCAAAGGCTAAATATTATTGACACTTCAGTGTTTGAAAATCAACATCAAGTGTCATTGCAGATGCAACCTTCAGACTATCCTGCAAGAAGCAAAAATGAGGCTGGTGTTGTTAACTTACAGTCATGCAGTCTTACTAAAAGCAATCTCACTGTTACAACACAATAAGAAAAAAAAGGAAAGAAAAAATGACATGTATACAAGAAATCGAGAACAGTGATGATGCTTCAATTTGTTGGTTTTCCTCAGGCTTTAAGAAAAAGGAAGACATTAAACCATTTTATAGTTAAAGAAAAGCCTTCTGGGCAGAACATTACTTGTGATTTGTTGGATATGGCTTGCTTATTTTTTGTTATTAATCTCACAATGCCTTGAGAGAAAAGTGGATGTTGTTGCTCTAATCTGCCTGTGATGGTTAGGTGATGGGGCTTTCTAGAAAACAGGGGTTCTGCAGTTGTTGCAGGGACATAGTATTGCTATTTGGGACACATCTGCTGTAATGACTGAGCTCTTCTAGGGAAAGAGTAGTTCCTGTTCACCTTAGAAAAGAATAATTTAGGAACGAAAATGAAGCAGAGATTCCTGAGGCTGGGATGTCCAATCTGGCAGAGTCTTCCCTGCCACAGTAGTAAGTGTAAGAGGCTGATTTAAAATGCTACTTCTCAGATCAACATGCAGTAACCTAGTATGAATGTTACTGAAAATCACAGTGGGGTGTCTTCACCCTAAAGCTTATACTGAACACATAAAGGTTTCATGCAGTGTTGTAGACAGCTCTCAAGGAATGGAGCTTTGCATTTCTGAGCATCATAACACAAATATCTTTTTGCTGGCTTGGACATTAGTGACCAGCCAAAATTCAGACGGGCGTTTTAACTCTAAGTCCTAACCACCAAAACAATCTTGCCTGGAACAAAGCAATCACATAGTGAACATTAAAAAATTACCTGAAACCGGCACTGGCATGCTAAAAACATGAGACAATTTAGAGAGCCAGATTTGGTGCTTGTGCTTAGTTTTAGACTTCCTTTCTTAACATCTGTAATGCCATTGCATTGAAACCTTAAGTGGTATATTCACTGTTAGTAAGTATAACATTGGTTTGTATTTCCTCTGTTATATGACAGTTTATTTATTTGCCCAAATTTGAACAGAAAAAAAAAAATCAACATAATAGCACTTTTGGCTTTGATTTGCTCATGTTGGACATCAGACTTAACAAGCACTGGGAATAGCCTTTCTGGCAACATCCTCATGCCATACTTAGTGCAACTTCGTTAAAAGCCATCTTTCCTGAGAGTCCATACAAAGATGGTGCCCCTAGGATGTTGGGGTGGCAGAAAAACTATAATTTAGATGTCACATAAAAGAAAGTTCTTCACTCATTAAGAAGTCCATTAGCACATTTGGGGAAAAGTAGGGACATTTTCTATGCTCTGAAAACAAGGGAAGTCCTTCAAAGCTGGGGACTGAGTATATTAGTCACTTTTGAAAAAGCAATTCAGGGGGATCAAAGAGCCAGAAGTAAATTGGTAACACTTAGTCTTTTTGAAAATGAATCAAAAATCAAAGAAGTAGCTGAATTCATTGGCAAGGTGG